CAATGAGGATAACAATATAACCAATAATATAAAAACATTTATTGAGCCCAACTGGGCCTGAGCAGTGTCCTACATGCTTTCCATGTTAATCTGTCTGTCTAGTAGCCCTACCAGACTGAAAACAGCTCTGATTTCCAGGTTACAGGCACACAGAGGCTAAGTAATTTGCCCCGAGGCATATATTTTATGCTTCTGAGGGCTAAGTGAGGGTTCAAACACAAATCCTCAGATTCCAAAGACTGCTCTCTCCACTGCACTCTTCCTTCCTTCTGTCCATCCTTCTCTTCCTTCCTCTTCCTTTTCCTTTCTTCCTTCCTTTTCCATTTCTTCCTTCCTCTTCCTCTTTCTTTTTTTTTCTTTCTTTCTGTTTCTCTGTTTTTGTTTGAGAGAGTCTCACTCTGTAGCCCAGGATGCTTTAGACTTTCAGGCCTTCTGCCTCCGCCTCCACATTGCTGGGGTTACAGGCATGCACCCTCATGCCTGCTGTTGTACCACTGCCTTTATTCTTCTTTACTCAGAATAAAAGAAAATACCAAATTATTTTAGGGCTAGGCTGAAGAAGTAAGCTGACAAAGCTTTCCGTATTTAATAGCATAAATTTCCATTTGTACTATGTACATATGCCTAGTGTGTATGTATGTATCTATAGAAATGTATCCTACGTGTACTCATAGTCATAAAAAAATTAAAATAAGTCTCCAAAATCTCTTAATAAAGTTTACATTAATATTTTAATTAATTAATTTGGAAAGGGACTAGAGCACACCCTACTGGCCAGCTAATAGGAAATACAGTATGTACTTTAGACAAATGCTTAAATGTGAAAACGCTTAAAAGAAGGTTGGAAAAGAACTACCTCAAAAACATCCAGATTACGTATCTAAATAACTCAATTCATAGGCTGCTAAAAACGCCTTAAAGTGATAAGATCTAGAGGGACTAGAATTAGAAGCATAATATTTGTTAAGGGAGACTTAGGTACGTAAGAGGTGACTCAATTAAAAACACATGACCCAGCCTGCCTCCCTACAGAGGAGAGACGTCAAGTCCTGTCCCCAAAACACTGCAAACAGACCAGAAAAGCTCACACAACTGGCAAACTCGTTCTCACATTCTACACATCACCTCCAACGCGCGCGTGTGTGTGTGTGTGTGTGTGTGTGTGATATGTATGTCTCTTTGTGTGAGTGTGTTTGTGTGGAGTGTATTTGTGTTGTGTAGCCCTTTTTAATAGAAAATCTAGGAAAGGACAGAAATATCCTGAATTACAGAAGGAAAAACAGGAATGCTGTAAACAATGTTTTGTGTGTGTGCTACTTTTCAGATGGTGGCTAAAGTTCAAAGTTCAGTGGAAGCCTCTGCTGTCATGAAACTCTCCTGAGTGAATCCCAGGATTCTGTTACTGTTTGAGAATTTTATACGTAGCTATAATGTACTTTGATCATGTCCACCCTATTTCCTCCCTCTCAGTTCCTTCCCAGGCTGTCTTAAATTTTTCTGAAATGACATTTACTCCTTTGTGTGTGACTGTGTGTGCAGAGGTCAGAAGACAACTTGCAGGATTTAGCCTTCTCCTTCCACCAGGGGGGTCCCAGAGATCAAACCCAGGCCAGCAGGGTTGGCCCAAGCACCTTCACCAGCCGAGCCATCCGGGCAATCCACCGGAGTTTGCTGCAGATGTGTGCGTGTTCCTGTGTGTGCTTGTGTGAGCTTATTTCTGACAGTGTATTACACTAAACAAATGCTTTTTAAGAAATGTACATTTTTCACTGTTCATGTATTTTTATTGCACTTACCTACAAACTAGTAAAACGTGTCTAATATAGATCATGTATTGACATAAACAAAGGCCCGATGACTAATAAGGTCGTTCAAAAAGTATTTTTCTTTAAAATATTTCTTTTTAAATGAAGTATATGTAACACTTATACTCAAAAGTGGATGTACTTTTTTTATAGGATTCCAAGAGAAAAACATAAACATACATTTGCCAAGGCCCTGTGTGACGCATGCATAGACATGACATGTTGGATTTCTTTAAGAGAGCAGGGGAAAAGTACCCCTGTGAGCCTAAGGTTTCTGAGCCAACAGGGGCAGTAAAAAAAAAAAAAAAAAAATAGTAGTGCAAAATGACAAACTGGGTCAACATGACATAGAACCAATGTTTTAAGGTATTGTGTTAAATTCTGCTTTTAAAATTCCTTAGGAAATTTCCTCAAAGCTAAACAAACTTGGAAGACTTTTAAAAAGAAAAAGCTTTCAGCCAAGCTGTGGTGGCACACGCCTTTAATCCCAGCAGTAGGGAGGCAGAGGCAGGTGGATCTCTGAGTTTGAGGACAGCCAGGGCTGTCAGAGAAACCCTGTCTCAAAAAACCAAACAAAACCAAGCAAAAACAAAACAAAACAAAAATACCTTCCAGTTTCTGGGTAGGGACAATTTAAATGAGTTTGGCTTAGGAAAAGGAGAATATTTTTTTCTCTCACTCAATTCTGGTGTTTGAACTATTAAAGGTCAATGAACAATAAGTGATCAATATGCCAGAACTACTTCAAGTAACTGGCTTAGCATTTTCACTTTAAACTCTTCTCAAACTATTCTGCAATATTTTTTTGGCATATCAGTGCTATTATAACACACTCTTAAGTATCCTGTAGAATATGAGTTTCCTCCACAGCTGAGAAAGCTTCATTATATGAATAATTATGAGCTAAAGTCAGTGAAGTAGAAACTGTAATTGCTCTTTCCCAAAAACTAAAAAGCTAAATGTTTATTTTTGTAAGTGTAAAGTAGATCCAAAGAGAAAATCCAGATTAATCATGCATTACTCATACGATTTTGTGATTTCTTTTTAATATAATTTACCAAAACATTAGCACATCCTACAGCTTAAGTGCGGAATGAGTCTCCTGTTGATCTTCTTTCTCTGCAGAGGGGTGTGTTCCACAGTTGCTCTGGTGATTATCATGTTTTGTGAATTGGGGAATATAAAAGCATGCTAATGAGGCCAGAGCACAGACTACAACCCTATTGTGGTGACTGGAAAGAAGAGTAACCAGGGTTCTTTTTGGATGAAACTGAGCCTCAACCGAGTCCCCGTTCAGTAAATGCTGTACTGAGAGGTCTGAAAGGATGTTCTCAGGTAGATCTTTTAAAGGCACACATACACACAGGGGTGGGGGCGGGGCGGGGCAAAGAATAGCAGAGCCAGGGGTAAAACCATGAATAGAAAAGGTGAGGGCACGAGGGACTCCTGTGACTTTCAAAGCCTAGGCAAGCTGTATGCGACTTCCTGCCTGTAAATCTCAACAGTGTGCAGGCCGAAGGATCATCGAGCTTGTGGTTAGCCTGAGCTATATGGCGAGTTCTAAGCCAGTGTGGGCTGCAGAATAAAACTGTCCGAAAGACCACCAAAGCTTAAATAAGCAAGTAAATAATAAACGCCTAGTTAATTTGACAATGCCTAGTTAATTTCCATACGTTTAAAACGCCACTAAGTGAATGGCAGTAAAACGATGGGAGAATTGAGTGGCCTGGCAGTAGAAACGGCCCAGTAGCCTCCGCAGACCAGCAGGAAGCCTCGGGAGAGCCAAGCCTTCCAGCGTTTGGTTAGCCTGCCCTGAGAGTGGGCAAGGGAATACTTCAGATTTTCCCTTTCTTTTTTTAAATCCGGTGCATCAGGCCTCGAACTTAAAATTCAGCCTTTGAGTTAAATTAAGAACCTAAGTCAACACTGGGAGAGGCAAATCGTTTCATAGTGCACCAAGTTAATAGGCAGATAATGAGGCCAGCACCTCAGTCCATACGTTAAACTGGCCCAATCAGGTGGCGCTAAGCGGGTAACGCTCACGTGACCTCTGTGCAGATCACGGAGGTCAGCCACAGGTCTGCGGCCTCCACTGCGGAACTCCATTAAGGGAATGTGTACTAGTACGAACTGGAGGGCTTCTGTCTGTTTGCTTTTTTTTCTTTAACTACTCTTGGTTTATCGTTGTGTTATTTATTTTACGGTTAAACTATAAACCTAAGTTGCATCACCGGATTTCTGCTCCAAGAAGCCTCCTCCCTGCAGACTCGATGGCGTTTTGTCCTTGGGCACCAGCGGCCATCCTGGGGTCAAGAGACATGGGGAACAAACTAAGAGGGCTGGGGGCGGGTTTGAGGGAGGTGCGGGCATCAGCCCCGCTTTGCTCCGGGACAAGCCAACCGCAGGGGAGCCTGAGCGAGGCCTTCCTGATCCTGCCCACACAGCACGGCCCACTGCCCCCAGCGGTCTCTCCCCGTCACGTGTCTTTCACCTTCCCACACTGTCCCTCAGCTGCCCACATTGTCACCATTCTATGTCCTGCAGTGGTTCGTGATCCGCTGGCTTCGGTCCCACACCACCGCTTGCAAGCATCCAGGTGGCCTCCCCTCCTCCGCCATCCCTCCCTGCCCCTCAGTTCCCTGCCCTCTCTCCCAGACCCCACTTTCTTCACGGTCCTCCTGCATCCCTGGCTGTACAGCTCTGTCATCCATCACTGCCCCTCATCATCACCACGGTCTCGCACTCACTGTCCTCACTGTCCCTCTCCGTTCTTCATCACTCTCCTTGCCATGCCTTGCCCCCCCTCACTTTACCTCGGGGTACCCCTTCTCAGTACCCCCCCCCCGGGCTACCTCGGCCCAAGTGCACCTCAGCACCACTTCCCTCCCCCGGGGCTGAAACAGGGCTGCTCTCAGCCTTGCGAGGAAAACTCAGTGTCCCCGGAGGCTCGGCAGCTCGCACGAAGCGGCACAGCCTGAAACGTCCCCGCAGGAGATTAGGCTACCGGCGCCGCCCGCCGGGCCCCAGGCCAGCCCTTCGGTCGCGGCGTCGCCCCTTTAAGAAGCCGGCCGCCCGGATTGGCTGCGCCGGGGAGGCGGGGCCGCGAGCGTCGACGTCACGCTGGCGGCTCATCCGTATATAAACGCGCGTCGGCCGCCGACGCCGCTGCGGCCGAGTGCGGGGCAGGAGCGCGAGCCGGGTGGAGCGCGGGCGGGCGGGCGGGCGAGGAGCGCGCCGGGAAGCCTGCGAGTGAGCGGAGCAGAGGGAGAAGGAGGGCGACGGAGCCGCGAGGCGCCTGCGCGATGTTCGGGCCGCCGAGCCCGCGGCGCTGAGCCAGCCGGGACGGACATGCGCGGGAGGGCGCCGCGGGGCCCCGCTCCCCTGGGGTAAGGGGCCTGGCGGGCGGCGGAGGGCGGCGAGCGGGCTGCGGCCGGGCGGGCGCGGGGATGGGCCGGGCGGGCGCGGGGAGCCGCGGGCCGCGGGCGCCGTTGGCTTCCCGCCGGGGCCATGCACCCGCGAGCGCACGACACGTCTCCACGGCCCGGGGTTCCCGAGCGGAGGCTCCGGGGTTGCCCGGCGCTGCTGCGGCCGGGGGTGCGGCAGGGCTGCTGCGGCCCCCTCCACCTCCCCTCTCGCCCCGCGCACCCCGTCAGTCCGGCCCCGGAAAGCTTCGGCGAGAAGCTGTTGCGGCTCGGAGATTGCTGGTCCCCGGTTGGTACCAGTTTTGATCTCGCTGCGACTCGGTGACGAAGGTCATTGCCTTTTTTTCTGCTCTTTTTTAATTCATCCGAGTTGTTCCGTGGCCTTTCCCTCTCCAGAAACGTGGTTCTTTGCCGTGATGACTTAAATATTACAGAAGGAATGAAACTGCAGACTGACCTGTTCAAACGCAAGGGCTCCTTGGCAGGATTGTGCATTTATACATACCTCGTATCTTTGTTCAAATTAACCGTGATTGGTGGTGCTGGATGGGTGCTTCCTCAGTCTTTATTAGGATTTCATCATTGCTTGAAAGAAACCAGTCTCTTACCTGATAAAAATGTGAATAGATTGTTAGTCATAAACTTAAGTGTAGTAAGAATAGAGACTGTAGCTTTAAAAGAGATGTGACGGGAGGTACACCTGCAACACAGGTAGGGCAGGACTGGTTTCCAGGCAACTGTCAGAGGTGAAGAAAGGTGAGGTATAAATTGCCTTTTTTTTTTTTTTTTAACCTCCTGGAAAAAAGGGTTCTACAGTTTTAAACTTCCTTAAGCCTGTACGGGTATAGTGGATATTCATCTGTTGAGACTAGACCATCTGAGCTCAGTGTGTCTACCCTTGCCTTTTAAAGACTTTTCTTAAGAGGCACATGCAGTTATGGAGTTTTAAGAGAGATTTCACTTAAGTAGAGACCAAAGACAGTCAGAATACCTGTATCAGCAAAAGAGCAAATCTTATAAAGACAAAAACAGTAAGTTGGTTTCTTACTAACCTGTCAAGTATGGCTCATGTTATCAATCCATCCCTTTCTGGATATTAGCAGGTTTGAGAGGAAATACATGAAGATTTTAACAGGGACTGAACACTCTTTGCCTTCACTACCTCACCTGTGTCCTGGTAGACATTTGCTAATAAATGGTAAAAATCTTGAACTGTAAGTCTGTTTCTAGGCAAATAAATTAGATGGTAAACTCCTTAAGAGCAGGAACTGCCTTGAACAGCTTTTTTTACACAGCCTTGCACATAGTTGATGTTGATAAATGCAAGGAAAGCATGCTTTACATTTTAAGGGTAACAGGATTATTCCAGGCACTGATGAGGCTTGGAAAGAAAATCTGTTGTTCCTTTTTATTGGCTGCTATAAAATGTCTGAATTACTCATATTTTTGAGAGGTAGAATTACTTTTTTTAATGAGTTGGATTTCCTACTTGGCTCACAGTAGATACTAGTGAACCTTTTTTTGTGTCTTGTATTGTAGTCTTGAGGTGTTTTTTGTTTTGTTTTGATGAAACCAGCTCTTTATTGCTGCTTCTCCGAAGTTGTACTAGATAATACTGCCTTTCTGCTCATACCAATAATAGCTTTTAAATGCAAGTTCCCTAAACTACTGGTGCAATCTACCATGCTTGCAACTGACCTGATTGTCAGCATACCATCAGCTTGCTTTAGAAAGGTGGTGAGCAGAGGAGGGGAAAGGTGGTGCCCAGGGTAATTCCTGAAATTTAAATGTCACTGGCTCCCTCTACCAGAGAAGCTTCCACTCCTAACCTCCATAACATGAACTGGTACCTCAGTGTCAGGATGTACACAGCATCCTTTGCAGGTGTTCGGCCATGCTTTTAAGCTAATGAACAATAACTCACTAGATAAACAATCCAGTTGTGGCATTCTGGCATTGTTCACACAGTGTAACCTCGATAAATGTGGCTAAGATGGGTGAACTTCAGGGTCTAAAACAGAAATTCCTAGCTTTAACAGGATGGGTGTTAATAGAAAAGGTTAGCGTAGGATTCAGACGTCAAAAAATTTGGAATCCTCGTTAATAATTTAGTCCATTTCTTTGGACTATGTACTTTGTACTAAAATTGGGGTAGAAGTGTTGCAAAACGACTAGTTTTCCAGGCCTGGGTGAACATAGCCTTAAAATCTGGAATTAGTGTACTTTTCAGTTTGAAAATAGGAGGGTAACGACTAGAAGTTTCTGTTCAGAAGCCCTATCCACGACCTGTAGCTAAGAAGAAACTTGCCTAGTTACAGACTCTTGCTCCACGGGAAAGGTTCTTTTCCTACCTCATTCCATGGCAGCTCTTCTCTGTGATTTAAGAAATCGGTTCTTAGAGCAGGGGTCGTGTCTACAACAGCAGAAGCAGCAGCGGCTCCTAGCACGTGAGGCAGAGGCAGGCGTATCTCTCAGAGTTCGAGGCCAGCTTGGTCTACAGAGTGAGTTCAGGACAGCCAGGGATACAAAGAGAAACCCTGTCTGGAAAAACAAAGCAAAAAAGGAAATCAGCTCTGAAAGTCACCTGTCTAGTGAGGCCTCCCCTGCACCTGTGTAAATGAGCTCTCAGCCTCCTTCTCCTGTCACTGTGCCTTGCTGATTTCCTTGAGGGTTATCCCCTCCTCGTTAGATGGAGGGTTTCCTCGGGCAACAACCGGTTTCTTCATCTGGTGTATCTGGTCCAAAAGAAGCATTCAGTATGCATTTGTGAAAATATAATTCATGTTTGCTCTCTAAGAATTTGCCCTCAAGAAAGTTGAGTTCCAGTACCTGCCTTTGCAGTTAGCCGGCATATAGGTCTTAAGTAGCCCTCCTTTTTATAGTATCATTTTAAGTAAGCTAGAATGTTAGAAAAACCAGCTTTTTTGCCTAAAAGGATAATACCACAGAAAGAAGTGGTGAAAGTGCAGGCAGGAAAATGCTGGCTTGCTTACAGCGCAGAATAGCCAGGCAGCCTTTCAGCTCAGAGTGATGTTTCAGACCACTTCATTTCCTTCCTAGCAAAATGGAGATTGTACTGCCTCTTCTTAGAGGGATGTTGTGGGGATCAAGTGAGATAATATATAAGAAAGTGCTTTGTAAATTTGTAGAGTGCTTTACAGATAGAATAATTCTCTTACTGGATTCTAGGTTTTTTGATAGAGCCAAGTTCTAATGGTATCATTGGGACCCATGCTGTGAGAGTATTTAAAGGAAGCCTCTTGGAGATATATATATATATATATATATATATATATATATATATATATATATATCCAACAGCCCTTTTATAAGCAAAGACAAAGCTGTGCCACATCAAATACTGTGTATAACAGATTCTATTGTGGTGGGCATCATTGTATCAGTGAAAGAGTATCAAAAGAACTGTTACAATTGGTTTGTACCTTTGCCCATTTTAGCTATCTAGGCCAAGACTATAATTGATAACTTTTTAGTAGGGAATTTTGAGGAAATGAAATGGGAACTTTTGTAGGCTGCAGTTTACCCAAGGAAAAACTATTACCAGATAGAATCCCTCCAAAAATGTACCTGCCTTATCCATAGAAGCCAAGTGTGTGTCTCGAAGTCATTTTATTCCAAGCAAGTTGAAAAGCCTAGGGGACTAGAAGAGAAGCTCTGGCATGGTCGAAAGCCTCAACGTGAAAGCCAGGTTTCCTGGAGTAAGCCTTGGCATTTCTGTGGCTCACCAGCTCTGAGCTGGATCAGGTTCCAGAAGCTCCTCACCTGTCAGAGTAATGGTAACACAGCCACCTTATAGGGTTGGTACAAGGACAAAACACTGAAAAAACTTCCTGACCATGTCCTCTGTTAGTTATTGTTATCGCCTGTGTATTACTTATAACAATCTGGAGCTGCCCATTGGCTTATTTAAATGCTTGTTAAATAAACATGAAGTTTTAAAGAGTCATTTCCCATCATTAGCCCATTGTGCTCATTGTCATTAAGATTACAACAGAGTCCACCAATCTTTCACAGGTACGGTGTATTGCATATGTCAGAAAGAACTCTCCTTCCATGCTGTGTGAGCTCGCTGTTTGTGTTGACTCTTGTGCTCTGCAGGAAGAGTGCCAATGACAGAGCAATGCGCTGCTGCAGCCCTGCTTGTACCTGTATCACTCTCCAATCTTGAGGGCAACTGAGTCACAGGGCTGTCAATGCAGTAGCTGAACTAATGGGGTTTTTGCTAGCTTGTTATTTCTTAAAATACTTAGCTAGGAGTTTTCTGAAGTAGTGAAGTTCTGTCATTTTAGTTTGACAGTCTAGAGATAAAAGTTATTTTCTTTGTTACCTCCCTTTTTACCACCTGCAAGTGGGCTAGTGTGTGTGGGGCACATTTAAGGTCCTCTGAAGAATGGAATTGAAAACACAGATCTTCATTTTAATTTCATCTTTTTAAATAGCATTTTAATACTTGCTGAAGCTATCACATTTTACTTGATTCCATGCATGAGTATTGTAGTTGCATTTTATTTTAAAAGTCATTCATGCGTATAATATAAAGGCCATTTCTGCTTTTTCATGGTGAATATATAACAAGTTTTCTTAACTTGCTTCCTTTCTTTCTCTATCCCCAAACCATAGCATTGAAAGTGAAATATGAAAAACTTTGAATTCAGGCCTTTGCTCTTGAAATATCTGTGCAAACGTCCTTTTGCTTTCAGTAAATCTGTGTAGGTTACACCATCTGTTTGATTCAGTGAGGTAAACAGTCTTTGCTGAGTTTAACAATTTGTTACCTTTGTAACTGTTTTCACAACCTGTAAGACACACGTTCACTTTTTAATGTGTAAAAAGATTGTCTAGAAGTATGACATAGTCCATGATTTTAGATCCTTCAGTATAATTACAATAATGCAGGGCATGTAGGCAGATGCTAAGTAATTTTTCTCAGATTAATAAAAGTCTATAGCCAGGCGTGGTGGCACATGCCTGTAATCCCAGCACTCAGGGAAACAGAGGCAGGCGGATCACTGTGAGTTTGAGGCTAACCTGGTCCACAAAGGGAGTCCAGTACAGCCAAGGCTACACAGAGAAATCCTGTCTGGAAAAAACAAAACAAAAGAACTAAATAAAAGTCTGAAAAATGGCCAATAAAACTAGGATTTCCATTTCCTTTTAAAGGTGATCAGACTTTTTTTCAAATGAGAATAGAAAGTGGTATATTTGAGGAAGATCAAAAGTCATGAAAATGTGTCATGTTTCTAATCAGTCTTTTTTGATAAATTTTGCCTATATAATTATGTGTGTCTTCTCTGTTTATGGAAGTAGTTAGGTAATTGTTAAATGCAACTGAAAAGGCCATTTATCACTCTGAATAAACAGAAATCAGGTTCTAGAACCAGATTGAAAGAAGGAAATTACATCACACTCTTAAATAAGGAAGCACTGGGCAGAACTGGATGAGTTGTAAGACAAAAATGTGCCCCTCCTCCTCTCGTGGATTGCTCCTAAGATGTATTAATGAGATCTCGTGGCAAGGTGAGCAGATCTAGGTTACCGCCTTAAGGTAGCCTGGCTTTCTGTGTTAGAGCAGTTTTAAAGTGAGTATTTTCAAGATAAAGGCATGTGAGCTCACCTTAGAAAGTGTGCACAGTGCTATTGGCATCATGTGACTTTTTTATTTTTAAAAGAAAGTAACTTTAAGTAGCAACAAAAACAAGGTAGATGGATTATAATCCCAAAGGGATGGTGTGTGAGGAAAGGTAAAATTTATTTTCACTGCTTTTAGTAAACAAGCCATTTAGAAGCCATGCGGCAGCCATTAATGCTTTCAATTTGTACTCAGCCTACACACTGTCCACATTGGATTGGGGAGTGAATTCAGGACATTCTAAATGTGTTAGATTGTTGGTTGGTCTCATCTCTGTAGTACATGCAAAGCTGATCCTTCAACAAATTTTTGCTTTTCCCCATAGCTCTTTTTTTTGTTTTGTTTTGTTTGTAGCTCTTCTTTTTAGCCTGGGGAAAATCTCATGTAATTACATTTTAAAGTATGAGAGGTTTTTTTCTCAGTGTTCACTTAATAGTCATTAGAAGTAAACATGCCAGGTTGTACAGATGGGAGATGCCAGGCTAGGAGGGAACCCGGGCACGGCACAGAATATCCCAGAACAGACAGGGCTCGGGCTCTTAGCAAAGGGGCTTGTTGAGGGAGCACAGTGTAAGAACTAGCCACCCCTAAAGCTCAGAGAACAGCTTGCGCCGGAAAGGACAGGTGAAGTAAGGGCCGGTTCTGGGGTCTCTTCTGCCAGGCAAGGAGCTTTTAGAGACTTTGACAGGTTCTTTTAAAGGTGGCAATTGAGGAATACTGATCTGACCCTGGTGGTTGCCGTATGGTGAACATGTTTTCGTACTGGAGGCCAGTTAGAGCCAGTAGGGGAAAGGAGGGAGGCTGAGAAAGAGTGTGCAGACTCTGTGTGGAGGTTAGCAGCTGAAAGCAGACTGGCCTTAACTCAGGCTCAGAGTGCTACTTCAGGAAGTGTGATCCTCCTGCATCAGAATAGGTAGAGGGTGAGTTAAGAGACAGAAAGAATTGGGCTTGGAGCCTGTGAGATACCAGAGGCCCATTCAAGTGAAAAGATAATCACACAGATAGTAAGAAATGCAAAGTGGAAGTCAGGTTGCACTCACCTATTTAGGAACTTTATGTGGAGCTGAAGCCATAAAAATGAATTTAAAGATTTTAAGAACAAAATTCTTAAAATTAAGGGAAAAAAATATGCTGTTAACAGAAATGGAGTATTGGTGTTTAACTGCATTTTCATTCACTAAGAATAGCGAATAGTTTCATGATTATCTAAGCTGTGGATCCTGGTCTGTACTGTGCTACCTATGTATTCACTTTGCTGTTCTTGGGTTTTGTCTTGTACTTTTAGATATTGCTATTCATACATAAGTGTATCTTTGTAGTTATTCTCTTTATAAATTGAAAAAGTACAGCTAGCTTTGCAGTTATAAGGGTTCTAAAAATTTAACATGCTACAGCATTAGTCAGATTTCACTTGAGCAAAATATGTTGCTTTATCTTAAATTTAGCCACGTTGATGTGTCTCTGCCCCCAACAAGGTTATACAACATGAATACTTGTTTTGTTTGTTGTTTGCTTTAAGTGAGGTAGAAGAACACTTTCAGGTAGATTTCTGACATAACCGTAGTTTAAAATCTGGAGAGAGCGACAGAGAGAGAGAATGTGTATTTGTCTAAACCTTAAACCTGTGGCATGTTGCTCTTTTGGGTTTTTCAGCCTGAAGTTATTTTCCAAAAGATGAGAACACAGCAGTTATATTGCCCTCCTTGCTTCTGCCATGCAAGCAAGTAGGAAGTTCAGATAGTTTCATAACACGGCCCATTCACAATTCCCCATTGAAATGTAGAGGCAGGTCACCTTCTATGAATACACAAAGACACTATTGTGGTCAGAGTGAGCTGGCTTAGTGAACACAATTCTTTTATACTAAAATTTTTTTTTCCTTGAGAAAGCTAACAAGTAGGTGATGGAAACAAAGAATAAAAAATAACTTTTTCTAGAACATATAAATAATTTTAAGTGACCACTGAAATGTAAGTTTAGGATTCCAAGGCAATGTGAGCAGAGGCGATAGTTACACAATCACTCTGTTGAAAGCTGAGATGTAGATGGCATTAGGAGGCTGACACAGTAATTACTAGTAGTACTTGTTGGCCTGCCGGCAGGTGGGGGCTGGGCCTCCTGAGTCCCCCGCAGCATTGTCCTGTAATCAGGATGAACAATCTTCAAACGTGCACTTTCAAACTACTTAAACACCACATTCTTCCTCCCGTCCTGCCTTTCATTTTCATATTACCACAGATCCTCTCCCGTAGTCTCTCAGTGTTTGTGAATGTTTTGAAAAGGCTTGATAAACCCTGGCTAAGCATACCCAGGGAGAGGCTAGACTTTTTAAAATTACTTGATGGTAAATAACATGTTTCATTTCAGTAATGTAAAAAACAAAACTCAAAAGACCTCCCAATAATGCTTAGGTAACTGATTATTTTATCATATATCTTTAAGAGACTGTTTTTTAAAAAAATAAGGTATGATTTTGAAATATTGTAAATCTGTCACAAAATAACTGCCTTAGATCATAAGCTTTAAAAAAAAAAAAGAACCCCCTATTTATGCCTTCCAAATAGGTTACCTTCAGTGGATAACAAGCGTTCCCTTACTGAGCTGGGTCCCTGTGATGGAAAGGTCCTGAGGACCCACAGCCACTTGTTCTGAAGGCCCAGGTTATTAGGCCTGAGGTTTGTAAATAGATGTTTAGTTGCTGATCAATTTAATAATAATGAACTATCTTTGTGGCCTCCAGCCAGCTCATGTGTCCTAGTCCCACGATCAGACAGCACCTGTACATGCAGATGTTTAATGGCAGAGTGGTGTGGACAGTCTGTAGAGAGCTCTCAAAGGGGTCTGTGTTCTGGCCAGGTGCCACATAACATCCTGCTGTCCGGCTTACTAAGTGCATGTCTCAAGACTTCAGAGGTTGGTGCTTTAAAAACAAAAGTAAAATCAGAATGTGTACGGGGGCTCCAGACCTGTCACATCTGATAAAGGGGGATTTCTAAAGCTAAGGAGCTACCAGTTTTAAGAAGAATATATTGTCTTTGTAATCCATGTCTGACAGGGGAGCAGGACATGAATCACTGGATATTTCACAAAGGAGAATGCAAAAAATGTCCCTCAGAGTTTGTCTTTGAAAGGGAGGAAGCTATCCAAAGCTGACGCTTTAGCTAGTAATCTTGCAGAACTTGATTTTGACAAGATAATAGAAATCAGTCTCCTCATATGCGACTATGTTTTTCTTGAGCAAGCAATAACTGGAGAATATGTCTTCTGTGAGCAACCCCGAGGAACAGAGTTCGGCTGTGGTGCGGGTGGGTTCCTCTACTGGAGAATCTCCTGAGTGGGCGCTAATGAGTGACAGCTCTGCCTGTGAAGAGCCATAGTTTCTAAAATTACTGTGTGTTTGTTTGGGGGGCGGTTCAGTGAGGGTAAAGCAGGATGTTGCTGGGAGTTCACACTGGCCTAGAACCTGCCATCCTCCCGCCTCAGCCTCCCAAGTGCTAGGATTGCAGTGTGCATCACCATGCCTGGCTTGAAACTCCTTGTTTACTTTGGGAAACGTGGTAAGAGCCACTGTGCTTCCTTCCTGGTATAGCCATGCCATACAAGGTCAATTTAGTGGGCTGGAGGGAGGTTTGTGTGCTTTGGAAAGCAGTTGTGATTGGTTGTGCAACTAGTAAGCTCTGTGGCAAGGGTTGGGTTTTCTGTTAGTGGATTCTTTCTCATTCTGTGAAAAAATGTTTCAAGTGTCAGGTTAGTATTTACAACAATCACAATTATTTTGCTGGCTACATTTTAAGTCTCCTTATGAAGAATTAGAAAAACAGTCTGCAAACAAACCATCTCTAATGACGTATGCTACAATGTAGACTATCCTATTTCTGAATTATCTTGTTTATTCTCCCATTTCTTCTTGATTCCCCAGGGAATGAAAGCTACTAGTTGACTTAAAAACCTCTGGGCTTCACAAATTTGAAGACATCCCAGAGTCAGGCACAATGTCAACAGCAGGAGTTGCTGCTCAGGATGTCCGAGTCCCATTAAAAACTGGATTTCTACATAACGGCCAGGCCTTGGGGAATATGAAGACCTGCTGGGGCAGTCGCAGCGAGTTTGAAAAGTAAGTCACGATGTACTGCCCCTGTGTTCTGAGTGCGTTCCTGATGCTCCAGAGACAGGAAGCGACTGTACTTGCTCACGACCTGCATGTTTTCTTTGCTTTCAGTAACTTTTTAACTATTGACCCAATAACCATGGCCTACAATCTGAAGTCCCCTGCCCAGGAGCACCTGACCACTATTGGTATGTATAAAAGTCTAGAGAATAGCATGTGAAGAGGTTGACAGTCTGATTAGCTCTGCCCTGTCCTCAAGCAGTGCTTCTTAAAGGAAGAAACCTAAGCAGTTTCCAACAATAGTCTGACACCTAGTGGCAGCAGACGCCAACGAGCACTCTTTCTTATCCTTCACTACCTGTATCCTGAGCCACTGACCCCTAAAGACGACTGTGGAAATGTGAGTTCTGTAAATCAAGAAGTAATTTGCTCTTGGGTAGGATACAGAGTTAACTTTGAACAACCTTGCGCAGTAGATGCTTGTGTGTTACTAGCACTGAATGCACATTCGAAAGCAACAGGTTCGAGCAGTCCTCATGGTACTCAGACCGAGAGACTGCAGGTATTCTAATGTGAACATTATGTTCCTTAGATTTTTGTCCAGCTTCTTATCAGGTAAACACATTGCAAGTGAGTCTGTTCACTCAATTATGATATGCCGGCAGGAAGGACCTCGCCTCACCACCTCACTCATGCCTGGCCTGTCTTGTATGGTCGCATGTCTACAGTGGCACGCCTGGTGCAGTATGGTACTCGTGTAAATTATACACTGTTCATCTTCTGTGAATTCTGCACACGTCACAAACTTGCCTGGGATGCGTGGGTGTATGCCGAGCACATGTCCAAGGGAGATGGCAGAGATAGTTTGTTCTTTGAACCAGATCACGTGTGTTCCCTGCTCTGACTCTAATTACACCTGTGGTGGTTGCATGGGTGTCCTCAGGGTTACGCCAGTCAGGTGTTTCCCTGACTTGGGCAGAGAGCTGGAGCTGAGGTGCTGGGCTTTCTCACAGGGTGAAGGGCAGGGAGAGGCGTACTCACCTTGATGAGCATCGCTTGTTCTTTTAGGATGCGCTTCTCGGTCTGCTCCCGCAAGTGGCCGCTTCTTTGCGGAATGCGCTCCATCTCCAAAGTCAAGCCTGCCCCCACTGGTTATCTCACCAAGTGAAAGCTCGGGACAGCGTGAAGAGGATCAAGTTGTATGTGGTTTTAAGAAACTCTCAGTGAATGGGGTCTGCGCTTCCACACCTCCGCTTACACCCATAAAAAGCTGCCCTTCCCCCTTCCCCTGTGCAGCATTGGGTGATCGGGGCTCTCGGCCGCTCCCACCATTGCCCATCTCTGAAGACCTATCTCTGGATGAAGCCGACTGTGAGGTAGAATTTCTGACCAGCTCAGACACAGACTTCCTCTTAGAAGACTGTGCACCTTCTGATTTCAAATACGCTGTTCCTGGCAGGCGAAGCTTCCGGGGGTGCGGACAGATCAACTATGCATATTTTGACACCCCAACTGTTTCTGTGGCAGATCTCAGCTGTGCTTCTGACCAGAACAGAGTTGTTCCAGATCCAAATCCTCCTCCACTTCAAAGCCATCGCAGATTAAGGCGGTCTCACTCAGGTCCAGCTGGGTCATTCAACAAGCCAGCCATCCGGATATCCAGCTACACACACAGAGCTTCTCCCAGCTCAGATGAAGACAAGCCTGAGGTCCCTCCCAGGGTTCCTATACCTCCTAGGCCGGCAAAGGCAGACTACAGAAGGTGGTCAGCGGAAGTGACCTCGAACACATACAGTGATGAAGACAGGCCGCCCAAAGTCCCACCGCGAGAGCCATTGTCGCGGAGCAACTCCCGTACCCCAAGTCCTAAAAGCCTTCCATCTTACCTCAATGGGGTCATGCCCCCAACGCAGAGCTTTGCCCCTGACCCCAAGTATGTCAGCAGCAAGGCCCTGCAGAGACAGAGCAGTGAAGGGTCTGCCAACAAGGTTCCTTGTATCCTGCCCATTATTGAAAATGGGAAGAAAGTTAGTTCAACACACTATTACCTACTACCTGAGAGACCACCGTACCTAGACAAATATGAAAAGTATTTTAGGGAAGCAGAAGAAACAAACCCAAGCACTCAAATCCAGCCATTGCCTGCTGCCTGTGGTATGGCCTCCGCCACAGAAAAGCTGGCCTCCAGAATGAAAGTGGATGTGGGTAGTCACGTGAAGCGCAAACACTTATCCTATGTGGTCTCTCCATAAACGTGGGGGTCGTGGTTCAACAGAAGTCATATGGAATGGGTGGCTCCTAGTTTTCCAATTTGAGGTTCACAGAACAACGTCAGGTTGCAAATTGAAGTTGGCAGACTCTGCCTTGATGAGAAAGGCTTAGAGCAGTTATGAGGTGCTGTTACGCTGGGAGTTCCTGGTTTATCAGTGTAGGAGAAAAAAGTCTAATTTAAAGATGTGCTAGAGGGGAGGGAAGAATGGGGAAACTTTTACATTTGACTACATTATATACCTATGTATAAACGTGCGGTGTAACCATAGACCATAGCTGCAGGATAACCAATTAGTCACTATCTTAGAGCAATATATATTCAGAATAACTAAAAACAAGCTGGAGGAACAGCTCCTGATAGTGTGAAAATTGAGCAAATGGAAGAAGCAGAATTGTTCGATCAAGTTATAAATTTGTTAAGTTTAAAGATTCCTGGCATTCAGGCCTGCTATATAGTTTGTTTTCTCCCCCTCCACCCACTAGCAGTCTTCTCCTTACAGGACGGGGCGTGTTCTTCTCCAGGCCTGTACCGTCTTGTTGAAATCATTCTGTGGCCCAATACTTCCAGCTCTGGGGTTTTGTCTTATTGAGGAGAAGGATAGCAGTTTCTGGAGTGTGTTAACACCTATGTGTGTCTCACATGGTAAATTGAGAGAATTAGTGTAGAACTTTCCCATACTATCTGCTTTTCCCATCCACTGAACTGGCCAGTTGTAGCGAGAGGCTTTCGAGAGAGCACGATGGAGTCGTACTGGCCCTCAGTGTTTGGGATGCAAGTGTCACAGATTAACACAGCGATTCGCTATGTGATGGAGATTTACTGTGTAGGGGTGTATGGTATTGTTTTTTGGTTTTTTGGTTTTGTTTTTTAGACTTAATAAACAAGTACAACACAAGCTGGTCTTGTGTTGCTGGTTCCTATTCAGTATTTTCTGGGGATTGTTTGCTTTTTTAAGTGAAACACTTCTGACCAATAGCACAGAATGTCTTAATGCCAGAGGTCACTTCAGCATCTTCCTGCTTCACTGCCCTGAGATTCCGTGAGACACGTAGCCGTGTTCAGTTCTTTACATCCTCTGATGTGTTTATCTTGTGTAGATCAGCACAGAGAGAAGGTGCTCGCTAACAGAGGGACACTGCTGCGGCGTCCCAACAAGCTGTTCAGTTTAAACTGCTGAATGACATTGTTTGAGCTATTTAAAGCTTACTGTATCTTAGTGTGAACTAAATGAAGGTTAAAACGCGCTTTAGAAGAATGCACTGATCTCCGCACTGTGTACAGTATTGGATAAAGGATTTATTCATTTTGTTGCATTATTTTGAATATTGTCTTTTCATTTTAATAAAGTTATATACTTATTTATGACACCATTAAGAATGTGTCTTGTCTAAACTCATGTTTCAAGAAATTGATGATCTTACTTTTTGAGCATGACAAAAGAGTCTTTGAGGTTAATACCTGTTCAAACTTACTGTAGATTTCTAAATGACAACTCGAGCAATTTTACTTGGTATTATAAAAATGTATGGGACTGAGGACTTGACTTAGTTGTTAAATGCTTGCCTGGCACACACACACAAACCCCTGGGTTGGATTACTAGTATCACATAAACTAGGCATGGAGGCACATACCCATAAGCCCAGCACTCAGGAAGCAGAAGCTGGAGGGTCAGGAGTTCAAGACCATTTTTGGTTGCATATGGCATTTGAGGTTAACCTAGGCCACATGAGTTTCTGTCTCTTTAAAAAGCATGTGGTAAAATCAAGCTGTTTGCTTTCCCCTAGAACAATTAAGCGAGCATGATTCCGGCGCTGCTGTGCAGGCAGTACTGTGAAGAGGACAGACGGTGGCAGCTCACAGAAAGGGACACGCACAAAGTGATCTGACTCACGTGCAGCTTTACAACTAAGTCTGGACGACTCGGGGCCCTTTGTGGGCTTCACTTGCTTGTTGGAAGCCTCAGTCTCCACTGCCACCCTGCAGACTGCCATCTCCTGGGCTGCTGCGTCAGAGCTGGGTGGCCCTGTGTGTCAGGTGTCGTCACTCAGTAACACATGCCTGTTGAGCAGCAGCCACAGCTGGATCTGGGAAGAGCAGCCTTTCCTGCCCCTTACAGAAGTGACAGCAATACAACCTAGGAGGGTTAAAAAGGTGCCCAGCATCTCTGCTCTGGAAACAGCGAGGGGCTGGAGGTAGCTGTGACTTAGAAGGTATGTCAGCAAACGAAGGCAGGCCTGTGAGGCCAGGAAGCAGGGAAAGCTGGCCACGGTCCAGAAGCTGAAGGCCACAAGCGGGAGGAGGCTGTGCAATGGAAAAGGGCAGTGGGTGCAACTCAAGATTCTAAGTGGGAGAGGAACACGATGTGATTTGTTTTAGGAAAGAGGACAGTGGCTGTTGTGTAGAGAACATTTCAAAGAAGTGAACTCTGAAAGCTACAGCCAGGGCCCAGGACTGACACCAGAGTCAAACCAGGGGGGATGGAGAGACACTTGGATGGCTTTGAAGGTTGTGGGAATGACAGGCAGACTCTAGACTGACCACAACCTGAGCCACAGCTCCTGGAAGCAGGGGCTCGGGCCGCCTCTGTCCTCGTCCTGGCGCTGAGCACTGCCGGCCACTGGGAGCGGGGCAGGTACTTAGTCCCCACTCAGTTTCCTTACCCATCTGTTTCTCCTTGAACTTCTGGGTATATACTTTTCCTAGCTTTTCATGGCCAAGAAATGTACTTAGCTGCCATGCTGACTGCACTGCTGAAAGCGCAGGAGCCCATCTGCCTGCCTGCTCCCCAGACAACACACCGAGCAAATTGAGGTGTTTTCAATTTGTTTTATGTGTATGTCTGTGTAGCACATGCATGCAGTGCCTGGTACCCACAGATGCCAGAAGATGGTGTGGAAATGTGGTTACAGATAGCTGTGAGCTACAATGCGGGTGCTGGGAACTGAACTCTGGCTCTCTGGAAGAGCAGCCAAGACTTTTAACGGCTGAGCCATCTTTACAGTCCTGTATAATATGTAGTGATCAAAACGGAAAATTGACATCTATGCAATTATGTACAGTGTTTTATTTAGTTGCACACTGATACGTGGTCCTACCTGAGTTTTAAAACTAGAAACTGATTTGGCCGTTCTGTTAGGCATTTTGTGAAAAGCTAATGAAACCTTTAAAAAACAATTGTGCAAAAACATACCATGCTGGTTGCACTTGAGAAGACAGAGCTGAGGCTGACTTCAGAGTTGTCTCAGTCCTAGGGAAGACTTGACAAAGCCTCCGAGGAGCCAGAGCCTTCAGGTTCCACACCTGAAATGGAGAAAGCAGCAAAAATGCTTGTTTTTCATCGAGCCCTGAAGCTTTCAGGTATTCTCGCCCTTACTTTCACGAGCTCTTTTCAAACTAAAAATTCACTTGACAACTTGTTTTCTTTGCAGTGTAGGCCATTTGACAGAATGTTCTGGCCCTTCTCCCTGCAGTGTGAGTCATTCCATTCTTAACAGTTTTGGGGCTCTGAGGGGTGAAGGGGAGGAGAGCAGCATTTGGTGAGTTCCCATTTGTCTGCACTGTTGGCCTCACCTCTCACTTCCTGTAACTACACAAACAGTTCAGGCGTGCCTGGTGCCGTTTGTGGTGAGGGTGTGAGCTTGCTCGCTCTTCACCTGCATGGATCAAACTTGAAGAGACTCCTACCCGAGCCACGAGGAATCTGCTACTACCACACGTCTAAACAGGCTCACTTGGGATCCGGAGCAGCAGGCACACGTGTGTGCCTGCGCTTACATCAGAGCAGCCCCGTGGCGCAGAGCCACTGCCCCATGGCGGCAGATGGGGTTTGGGTAAGGAGTTGGGGGCTGGGAATGGATAGGAAAGAATGTGCTTCGAGCACCAGTCGGCACCTGTCTCAAAGCTGCTGTCAGGGCAGTGGCTTAGCATGCCTCTCCCATGCTGTCATCGCTCACCCTGTGAGTTCAGACAGCCCGGAACCCCAGGCACGGAAGCCTGTAGCAAGTACGCACAGGGATCCGCGTGTCTGTCCCCCCTCCTGCCCTGCTTCCACTAAACAGAAAAGCCATCACTGAGAAATGGGGTTTCGGAATGTGCACGGCGTTGCGTTCACCAAAGACCCAGGCAGAACCTTCATTCCTTAGCAGCCACTGAGGACCCACATCAGTAAACATCTAACCACATGCCTTCCGTAGATTTCTTCTGGGCATGAGGTAGCCGGTGCCTTCCCCTGGGACAGCATGACTTGTCCACTCCCCTCTTGTGAAAGGCAGAATGAGTTGTGTCATTCTGGCCTGCGCCAAGCCTTCCTCTGGCCTAGCCATGGCACCGCCTCGGGCACAGCACACAGGAAGCTGTACTTTGTTATTCTGAATTCCTGGCTGGCCTCATGTTCTTGGATGAACCAGTGTCCTTGTACACAGTGTCTCTCCTCCCTCATTGATCAGGGTTCTTGGCGGAGCAGCAGCCAGCTGACAGCTTCTGCAGCCGTCTGGGTAATGAAGCCCAGCTCTGCAGTACAAGCACCCACGGCGGCCGGCACAGGACCAGACTTGCCTGTGTGCTGCCCCGGCCCAGCCCAGGAGCCTCTAATTACACGCCTGCTGTTTGTAGGAGCCCAGGTGGCCTGGGCCCAGGCCCGGGAAGAGAGGACAGGTCTGCTGTCACTGCAGGTCAGCACAGGGACCCCCTGGAGCAGCCAGGTCCAGGCACACATTCCGACTTCATCAGCAGGCCCCTCTCTGAACCCACAGTGTCATCTGCCTATAGACCTTCCCAGGCGCCTGAGTGTGCTCAGAAGCTGACCTGGCCCGGCAGGAGACTGAGGGTGCTGTGTTTTCCTCCACACAATATGGCATTGTCCCCGGGGGTGGCTCATGTGGCAGAGCCCTGGCCCATTTGACTTGCCTGCAGATGGCCCAGTGTGAAGAGCTCACAGTTGTCAGGAACTTGCTGTCTGCCAAGCACTGGGCGCTCCAGATCCTGTGTGGCGGCACCAAACTTAGGAGGCGGCCTCTCAAGGGAAGCAAAGGGGGCGGGGCAGTGGTGTTGCTCATGAGGACCTGGGCTCTCCAGAGAATGGCACAAGAACAGGGATGAAAAAGTCGCTGCAGCCGGTGCCTGCATTGCTCCTGGCCAGTGCCAGCCAACCATGCAAGCTGTGCTGTGGGCTACAGAGACGGCGGAAGCCGAGCCTGTAAGGAAAAATAAATGGACAACAAACAGAGATCTGTTTGGGTTTTGTTTTTGAAGTCACTTTGTTTTACCGTCCCTACTTAGCTGCTAATGAATCTGCATGTTGTTTTTGCAGGACACCACCAGACCTCCATAGTGCATTGCTGCCTGTTGGCTGGCAAGGGCGTCTGACAGAGAGACTGAGTTAGAGCTGGCAAGACGCGCAAGCCTGGCAACCTGAGTTTGATTCCTGAAGAAAATGACGACATAAAGTCAATCATCCTTTGACCTCTGCCAGGGCACATAGGCGTGAAGGCGCATGCGCACATACACACATCTTTATAAAGAAACTAGTTTATGCCACTAAAATGCTTATTTAAGAATTTTTCCTCCAAAACCTGGAATATTAATCTGTGGGAAACTTCTACGTTGTTGTTTTATTTGTTTGTTTATTTTTGAGACAGGGTCTCTCTGCAAAGCCCTGGCTCTTACAGAACTCATTATGTAGTCCAGGCCTCAGACTCACAGAGATCCACCTGCCTCTGCTTTTTGAGTGCTGGGACTAAAAACACACACCACTCTACCCGGCTTATGAGAAATTTCTATTTGTGTAATATTTGTTATTACTCTGAGGCAAAGTTACACTCTATCCCAGACTAACCTAAATTTACTCTATATTCGCTGACCTCAGACACAGAAGTGAGCCCTGACATCAGATTCCCAGGGGCAGGATTCCAGGCCTGGGAGCCACCACTCATAGGGGTTACTCTTTTCCTCTTAAACTGTATACTTTGGTGTCTTCCATAACCATAAAAAAAATCACTCTGGCATACAGAGCTTTCGATGGGTTATTATTATAGCCAAAAGGAGCCTGCCTACCCAGCACGCGCAACTCCATCCTTGCTTCCTTCCGCCACCACAATGCCCAGCTCCATCTACACAAGCGCATTCTTTCTGCATCACCCCTAAACACCATGCCCTTAGGCACACATACACCGACACGGGCTGGAGGGATCCAGGCTGCCTGAGCTGCTCATCTGTGCTATCACCTCATCTCCCCAGCTGGGTCTAGCCTGGGGTCTGGTGGCAAGTCTTTCATTAAAAGTTGAAAATACATCTGAGGGTGTATTTTCAGTTCCTTCTAGCTTAGAAATCCTCCCAAGGCTGTCTTTTCCCTCTAAACATGAATCCCGACTGGAATGAGGCACCAACTGTAGTTGCAGAATGGCTTAGAACAGTAACCTTTCAAGGTTCTGAGCCAGGAGGGGTCACTGCGGGGGTGGGGGGTGCACTCGGTGGTCCTGCCCTTCCACTAAACATGGAAATCTGAAAGCGAGAAGAACCTGTGACAGAAGCTCCTCGGTGTCTGTGGGCACCGGAAATGTCCTGTTTCTGGGCTTCAGGACTCTATGATCTGATGGACGAATAAAGCCCACAGGAAAGGGCAGGCTGAAGAGAATGCAAGTGTTGGCCGTGAAGAAAGCTGAGTTCTTAAAAGGAGAAGGATGGGAAGGACTCCCCCTCCTCAGCAGCCGATTCTGCCCCTCCCCAACACTTGTTTTAAGCAGTGGGTGTGTGCCCTGAGCCATCTCCGCCTAGCCAATGCCCTGTCCAGTCTATGCTTCTTCTACTGCTGCGGCCAACAGACTCTCGAACTTGGAACTCTGGTCAACAGGAAAACAGGCATCTTCTAACACAAGCATGTGTATAAAATTACCAGTCACTAAGCACTGAAAATATTAATGTTAAGAAAAGCACAAAATCTGGGCATGGTTGTGCACCCAGTACTTCACCTGTCACCCCACCTGTCACCCCAGTACTTAGCCTGTAGCTCCAGTACTTAGCCTGTAACCCCAGTACTTCACCTGTAACCTCAGTACTTCGCCTGTAACCCCAGTACTTTGCCTGTAACCCCAGTACTTGGAGGCTGAGAAAACATCAGCTTGAGTTCAAGGCCAGTCTGGGCTACAGAGTGAGTTTCAGGACAGCCGAGGCTACACAGAGAAACCCTGTCTCGAAAAAACAAAACATCCCTTACATGAGGCCCCAAAGATCAATCACCAGCACTGCTGTAGAAACAAAAAGCACAAGGTGAACATTTCACAAAGCAAACTGATGTGAAACTAACAACCCTCAGAGATTAAACAGAGTACCCTCTCCATGAAAAACGGACAGGATGTAACATTAAAAACAAAACAAAAACTCAAGGGATAGAATCCGAGGCAAGAGGAACAGAGGGCAGCATAGAAGAAATAATTAAAACATAGAAAAGGGGTTCAAGGTGGGGAGACGGCACAGTAGGTAAAAGTACTCGGCGACATGAACCAGACCCCTGGAGGGAAATCCCTGGATCACACGTACAAAACCGGACACGATGGCGTAAATCTCCAGACCTGGCTTTCCAGTGGTGAGACAGGAAGTAGATGTGCCTGAAGTTCACGGCTGGGTAGCCAGCCTGTGGTCCACTGTACAAGAGAGACCTTGCCTCAACAAGGTGGGGGATGAGAGCTGGCCCCTAAAAATTGTCCTCTGACCTTTACACAACTCTGGGACACAGCTGGACACACACACACAAGACAATCAATAAATAAGTGGGAAAAGTGAATGGAGACTGCTGCAGAGGGTTCATTGAGCATGTGTGAAGCCCTGGGTTCAATCCTGAGTACCACAAAATAAATTAATAAAACATAAAAACGTCCAGATCAGGATATACAGGCAAATGACAGCATACCTAGATACACTTTTCAAAAACTTCACACCAATGATGAGAACAGTAAAGCTTCTAATACTCGGGAAGACAAGGGCAGCAGACAGCAGCAGAACACAGGATGCCGACTTCAAGGCTCTAAGAAAAGCTTGTCTGAATCCAAAAACGTGTACTTAGCCCACTTCAGAGACTTTCTAGTCCTTTTTTAAAAAAATACTATTATTATTGATAGATTTTTACTGACTTAATTTAGTGTATTGGGGGCAGGGTGCACGTGCCTTGGAATATATGTGGACATCAGAGGTCAACTTTTGAGAGTCAGCTCTCTTCTTTCACCTTGTGGGTTCTGAGCCTCAAACTTGGGTGACCCGTCTTGGAGGCAGGCACTTCTCTCCTGACCCATTTTGTACAGTCTCAGGACAGGGGCTCAGGCTCCCCAACTCAGGACCACAGTATGCAGTCCCCACCCCTCACCCCAGCACCCCAGCTCATGCAAATCTGATTTTGGGATCTAGAATGCCAAAGAGGCCCCTGGGCCAACAGCCTGTTCCCCAGCCTGGCTGTTGGGAGGTGGGAAAGCGCAGGTCTTTGGTGACTTTACCAGACATGCGACCCAAGTCTTCCTCCTTTGTCCTAGACATGAGGTAAGCGGCTTTCTGCCCCTTTAGAATCTCTCCAAGAACGAGCCACCTCACCTCAGGCCCAGAAGCAGTGCGCCCAAGCCTCCAACCCTGTGAACTCAAACCTTCAGTCTGTATAAGCTGATTTGTCTCAGGTATTTTGTAACAAATGTGAGGAAAAGCAGACCGACACAAATTGCAACCCAGCAGAACAAACAAAAGAGGTAGGGGAAGGGTGCCCAGTGACAATGCTGAGCAACGCAGCCATGACAACTTAGAGTAAAAGGAATTTTATGCATGACTGAAAGTAAACAATAGGAATCAAGGCCCCAGATTAACCGGAGGAGAAAGAGGACAGGAGCAAAGTGAGAGCAGCAGAGCTCCATAGCGGTGAAGGGTGCAGCTGATAAGTTTAGGGCGTCACTGGTGCTATTACACACACTAAAATGCGAGAGGCAGGGCGATGTGTGTGTCGGTTTAACCACCCGCCCAACCAGCATAAACCCAGGACACGCCCGAAATCCTGGGACCCAGAAGGTGGAAGCAGGAAGATCAGGAGGTCAGGACTCTCCTGGGCTGCTTGAGACCCTTTCTCAAAAACTATTAAAAACTCTCTGAGGAGCCAGGCATGCCCACGCCTTTAATCTCAGCACTCAGGAGGCAGAAGCAGGCAAATCTCTGTGAGTCCAACACAGCCAAGGTTACATAGAAAACCCCCCTCCACGTCCCCCCACCAAAACTCTCTGAGTATAAGATTTTAAGTCCAAAAAAAAAATTTTTTTTTTTTTTTTCTGAGAACCCAATGACTGTTTATATGCCACCGCTGGGGCATATAGGCAGCCTGTTTGCCTTGGGCCTGGAACCCTAACCTAGAGTCGGGCACCTCGTTCCAGACTCCTGTCAATAGTGCCCTCTTCTCTAAGTCAGGCAAAATTCTCTCCAAGTCATAAGCAGATTCTGGTTTTGCTTCCTGAGCCAGATCTGTGTCACATGCAAAGAGAGTACGGTCACTACCAGCTTTTGAAGCAGAAATGCATGCCATGGCTAGCACCGCCCACTGGCAAGGCCGCACACTCAGTTGCAATGGATAGTAGTGCCTTTTGCCTTTTCTGACCTCTGCAGGACCTGCCGCACACACACACATATAGGCAAACACTCATCCATATAAAAAGAAATATAATATAATATATATATATTATAAACAAGCACTTCCACAACATAGAGTTAGTAAAATACTGAATGCCTGGGAGAAGATAGACTAGGAATAGAAGCAAAAAGGTAGTTGGATAGCCGATCAAATCTTGGGCAAAATGGACATACTTGAATGCACAAGATGGCAAACCTGGACGCACATAACATCACAGCCTAAAGATACAGGAAGCAGACACCCAGGCACCTATGAGAAAGCCGGGCACCACCATCATTGCGGGAACACTTAATACACATCTGTTGGGGACCGACAGACCAGCCACAGGTAATAAAAATGACAGGCATCAATGCCGATGTGAGCAGCAGGATTCACAAGCTTGGCTTCAGGACAGACAGACCGTGCCCCTAGCAGTTAGAGTACGCAAGCTTTTGCTGAGATGATATAATATACGTAGAGGGCAGAGACAATTTTTAAAAAAAAAAGTACAACTCAAGCCTCAATAAACACTACAACAAGGAGGACCTTGCAGAACCCAGAGGGCTTCCGTGCTGACACCCCACCCCACCGGTAATCACCCCTGACTCCCCATGCTATGAATTAATTTTGCCTGTTTTTAAACTGTACAGGCGTGGACCCAGGTCAGCCTGGCCTTCCAACATGGACCTTACTAACAGCAACTTTCGCTACCCTCTGGCTTCTGTAACCGCAAGGCTTTCTGCTCCCCGATCAGAAACACTTGGTGTTCCAACTGTGTCCTATTCTTATTTAAAAATCAATATTCTGCCATTCCTACCAACGGCTACGTCAACCGGAAATGGCGAGCTTGGAGTTTTGAGCTTTGCCATCGGGTGTGTGTGGCTCAGTCAAACCAGCAAATTCAAAAAGGGCCCATCCCTGCCTCTTACTCTTAGTTGCGTGCATCCATTTTCAGCATCTGGGGGCTTGTCC